TTAAAGAGGAAAAAGCTGGAGATGCTGACATTGCGAAGAAGTTATCAGTTGCGGCCATCTGGTGCGCACAATGGGATCCGAGTGATCGTCCTTCGATAAGCACTGTAATACAGGTGTTGGAAGGAAGAACAGGAAGCTTACCCCTGCGCCTGCCACCAGATCCTTTTGCTTCTCTCAGCTCGGAAGAAAGTGACATGAATGTCCCATGAGCAGGCCAATCTTGGTCAAGATGAACGTGCACCCTTGCGCACTAGTGAAAATAAGGACTGGCATAAAAATTATGGAAGAATTGTGAATTGTGAGTGGTAATTTGTGTAATATGGTAGTATTTTGTTAATCTGTTCGATATTTAAGCACTGTCATAGTTATATACTATAACAGTTCCAGATTGTTACTCACAGAAATACAACTTTTTTTTTTTTGGTATTTTTGCATCCTTCATGCTTTCTATTTCTGTTTTTTATCTACTTTTTGAAAAGTGAATTTATATATGTGCTGAATAGGAACGTCTAAATGTCGATTGAAATCTGTAACCATGAAGTTACTGCAGACTTAGTGCGTTAATGAAATTGGAACTCAGTATACAGCACATCATTACTCAGACACTGTGTTGTATCAGAAACAATACCTGTGACACCCCAAATACAACAGAAATTACAGCTTCAGAACCATGCAAGCAGTCACTTAGGAGAACAACCACCGGCATTTCCTAAACAATTAATGCAACGCACTCTACACTGCTCCTTTGGCAAGAGCTAAGAGACAAAGTGCAAATTAAACCAAACAAATTTGAACTAATTAATTTCCTAAGAGTTAGATTATTCTCTAACAAAACATGAAGATCCCTATTCCTCAACATCAGCCTAGTAAATATATTCCATCAAACAATTGTGAATTGGAGTTGCTAGTCTCAAGTCTCTCTTTCCTTCTCCCAGCTGATTACTCCAATTTTGTATACATACATTTTCCCCAACATATTTAACATGGAAAGTGAAATAATAGTCACATTTTACAGCAATAAACAGATGTTACATGTATATCCCTTTTCAGTATATAAGGATTCATTTATCATCTCTGGACTCATTAAAGTAATTCTCTCTAACTTCACATATCTCCCTTGAGCATTGTCTTCTATGTTTTAGGCTGCAGCATATAGCTTTAGGTTAGACAAATGCACCCTATTTTTTTTGTCTAAAGGTGTCGAACGTGTGTTAGTAGCAGCTTTTGCTTTGAGTGTAGCGGCAGGTAAGTCTTTTTACGCGAAAACTCTTTTACTAAATGTATGTATCTTATACGTATCTTATTTTGATTATAAATTTAATAAATAATTATTTTTTAAAAAATATATAAATAGGTCTACATTTTTTATTAGTTTCTAAAATGATTTATTTCTTGATCTCAATTATAAATTTAATAAATAATTATTTTTTAAAAAATATAATTTTATTATTTTTTATTAATTAAAAAAAAATCCCCATCTGGGGTGCACTGAAGCTCCCCTAAGGAGCCTCGATCGGAGCTCTCTAAAGAAGCATTGGCCGATGCTCCCTTTCTTTTGTTTTTTTTTTTTTTTAAAAAAATATAATAATAATTATTTATATTAATAAAAAATAATATTTTAGTTTTTTTATAATTTTTGTTAACGGTATTTATATTAATGAGGTAAAATATTTATTTTAAAAATTAATAAATTTTTATATAATTTTAATCAAAATTTTAAAAAATAAAAATATTTCATTCAAAGAATTAATAAGAATTAAGGGAGTCATAGGGGTTGCACATTCTGAGAGATGGTGCAATGTGTATTTATTGCATAAAAGAAATTTAAAATTGTAGATGAAAAATTTCTTGTATTCTTATCATAAGTTACTAATATTTTCGATATCATAAATTTCATAATAATTCAAATGATTAATGGTGATCATATAATCATTCCATAAAACAAAACAAGTAATATTTAATCTATTCATGATTATATTCTTGAATAATGACTCGAATTTTCGTTTATCTTTAAAATTAACAAAAAAATTAAGATAAAAAATTATCGAAAAATTAAAAAAAAAATACCTTTGAGCAATGGAAAGGGGTTATGTTGAGTTTAGTGAGCCAGGTCTGACTTTGCACCTTAGCCCAAATTCCTTTCTTTTGGTCAATAAAACAGCCCAAAAAATCTTCTCTTTTTTATCTGATAATGGGGAAATGCTTCAAATGAACAACTGTCACCCTCCGGTGTCTTGCTTCACTGTCGACGCCCAGCTTTCTCTTCTGCTAAGGTTTTTCTCTTCCTCTATCTGGGTTTCGTTTGTAGACAGGCTTCCCTGGCTCTGTCTGCACTTAAATAATTCTATGTTGGAATTCCCACCTTAACAGTACAGCAAGTTGTCTTGTTTCTTTTCATGGATCGTTGGAGTGGTGTTTTGAAGGTTCGATTAGACCCGAATAGTAGGAATTACTACAGAGTTGCTGCATCTCTCTGCTACTCATCAACCTCCAAGTCCCTAATTGTAAGTTCTTTTCTTTTATCCCAAACTCTGAAGCACCCCCTGAAATCAATATCTCACGAAATCGTCGTAAATTAGGTGCCTTGCCAGAATGCCATATTTTTCAATGGAGATAGAGTTGAAGGGACCAGGAACCCAGTGGTTGAGAGGCTATCTGATTTGCCAAAAATAGCTGAAGTTTTAGTTTCTAAATTTGGCGGCTCTATCAATGCTTGGGTTATCGAGGCTTCCATTTTCAATGGGCCATTTGCTGTTTACAAGGATTTTATCCCATCTGTGAATAGATATGGGGAGCCTAAATCATATGCTCCTGTTGGTTTCCCTGCTTCTACATCAACTGTCTCAATCTTATCAAATTGCTTTGAACAGGTATGTTTGATGAACACAAGACTCTTTTAACAAAAGTATAATTTAAAGTGTTCCTGCTGCTGGATGAATTAGCTCCATTTGGTTCCTGCTGTATCATTTAAAAGATATAAATTTGATGAATCCTAACAAATTGAGATATAAAGCTAGTATGTCTTTGCCTCTGCCTTTACCAAAAGGGAATTGACTTAGTTATGGTATGTATTTGCATCAGTTAGATTGTCCATACATTTCTTCAGTTTGTTTGCCTTTTGGAATTACTAGGAACCTTGCAGCATACTTATGACCAAGCATTTTTGGAAGTCTGATTGATTTTGGATGTTTAATGACTTTCCATGTACTTAATAATCATTATTGCAGGCAAAAAATGTAATTTCAAGTGGACAGAGGGATCCCTGTTCCACTTGTACATCTCCGTCACAACCCAAAACTTTAATCCTTGGGTTCAGCAAGGGTGGTACTGTAGTTAACCAGCTCGTCACTGAACTTGGCTCCTTGGAATACAAATCCCTGGCAAATCCTACTTATGTAAGAGAACAGCCTGTGGTTAAGGAATTATCTGGAGGCCAAGGAGAGGTTCAAATAATTCCTAGGACTAAGGAAGGCTTATTAAACAGCATCTCTGAGATTCATTATGTGGATGTGGGCTTAAACTCTTCTGGTGCATACATCACTGACCAAAACGTGACTCGAAGAATATCAAAACGCCTTGCAGATGGAGCCCCAGGGATTCGTTTTTTGCTCCATGGAACTCCTAGGCAATGGTGTGACAGCAGACGAGATTGGATACGACATGAAAAGGACAAACTGTGTCGTTTGCTTGAATCTGAAACTCAGAAGAGTGGTGGGAAATTGAAGGTGTGTGAGAGATTTTATTTTGCTGACAGGCTTCCTGATATGCAGATGCATTTTGAAGTTATTGAAGAGATGGATATCAGTTGATTGAATGATCCCGAAACAACAACCCTCCCCCTCCCTCTTTCCATGTATGTATATTCCTTAAATGAAAAAGATATCTGACTTAATTCTCTAATTCAAAAGAAAAAGTTTTATATGTTTCTTGCTTCACAATCCTCGAACTGAAAGCAGTAAACAGAATGCTTGTAAAAGATTTAATGGTCTTGCATGAAAGAGATTTGATTAAACATACTTTAATTATTGTCATAATCACATACTAATATGCTTTGAATTTCCATCTGACAAGAAGATACATTGCTGAGAGAGCGAGAGAGAGAGAATTTTACAGAATAAGACAGGGTCCTCTTGCAAGAAAAATACTAGCATATTACGCAAAACCTAACAGTTGATACGGAAACCCGATCATCTAAGCTTTCTTGCTCTTTGGAGACTCTTGGGAGCCATGCACAGGGGAAAGCTCGGGTTCCGGACAACTTCCAGGCCATAAAAAGGCACCCATTGCAAACTTTCTCTTATAATCCAAGTCACCCTCCACAGATATTAACCCATATTCAGTAAAAAGTTGATCAAGCTTCCATTCCGGCATGTCCTCGTAGTCCTTGGTGAACAAGGGATAGTGAAGTGGCATAAGAAAGCAGCACTTAGCATCCTCTTTGGTTGTCTCGATATGTTTCTCCTCCTTTTCTACTACACTCTCCACATCTTTCTTTGTCTCCGTAATAACAGAATTCTCCAACATTGCACCGGCATTGCCAATGCTGCCTGAATTTTCTTGATGTTTTTGTGCTTCCTGTAGGATGAGGAGCGTGAGACCAGACACCAACCTCTTACCCATAAGAGCCAAAGGTTGGAAGAGAACACTACGAAAAGCCCTTGAATTTTCTTGAGTTATGCTTACCTGACAGTAGGAGAAACACAAGTAGAAACCCTTATAACGGCTTATATTTAAAGAAAGATTTACCTTAATCCTACTGAAACTGGTAATGAAAATATAATTCCTTCAACATCAAGCAAGTAAGCGAAGCGGATATTGTTGAGATTTTGTAATTGGGAAGTAAGGCAAACCGTTGCCATCTAGGTCGGTTCAAGGGGTTTGGTTACAAATGGACTCGACAAATATTCCTTGGGCTTGACCTGTCGCCTTAAAACGGCTGCTTATTAGACAACCCACCGCCAAGAGGCTCTTAGCGGCCCCAACCGAGAAAGGCAGAGAAAGGGCCTCGCCTTGTTGAGACAGCGCGTATGTCCACGGCTCTACGAGAGCGTTAAGAGACAGCAATTGCGGTAATGGTCTGACTGACACAGTCCCATGGCCATTAGCTGATTTCGTGTGAACTCTTTTAGCTCTATTTGTATAGTCGTGACGGGTAGTTGCGACGTTGTCTCTCGTGAGTTTGTCAAACTACTCAAAGGCAAATCCTTTATCCTTGTTCAGTTTTCTGGTCGGTCTTCCACTAATCAAACTTAAAAACCCAGAATTTCTAGTGCATTCAAAATATCCCAGGAAGCAGATCCTTGTTGGATTCTTGGGTTATCCTGAATCCTGATGCTACTCCATTAGAACTCTGAAGGGAGCAACTTTATTTCACTTTTACCAGCAATGGCCTCGCTTTCGCAGTCAACTACCTTTCTCCTCATCATCTTCTTCTTTATATTCATTCTCATTCCGATCACACACGCTATTCCTTTCATCGTATTGCACGGTAATGTTCTCTTTCACTTCTTTATCTTTGTAATCCATTGAGTTTGCAGTTCCTTTTTTTACTTTCTTATAATTGTTAGTGTGAGTTCATTGACATGCTTGCTTTATCTGTTTTCAAGGAAACAAATTATTCAGTTAATGCTAATTATCTGAAATTTTAGCAGTTTTCTTTGAGAATTACATGCTGATTAGCATTGCCTAGGAAAACTGAAACTAAATTATGGTCATTGGATTGTCCAAATTCGTTGGGTCTGGATTGTCCAGATTTCTATGACCTATCATTTTGCTTATACTAAAACTGCAAGAGCGGTATTGAGGGTCAATTCTGTTGGTCTCGACGAAATAGGGAACTGATTTTGCTCTGGAAAAAATGATGTAATTGCAACAGCCATTCTATCATTGCCAGAAGAACAGTTATTTGTCTTCCAATTTGGTTGGTGGACTACTTGACACCTGCCATTGTGTCTATGGAGCTATATTAGTAATTTTAAACCTGGTGGAAAACAACTTTGAGCAGGTCAGGTTGCTTGGGAGCTAGCATTTATCAAAAAGCACATCTCATATTCATCTAAACCTTATATAACCCACTCTCTAAACTTAAGAGCTGAGCACTGCTATACTACAGTATCAGAGTAGTCTGGTTCCGGTTCTCCCTGTAATATTTTAAAGTCGAATAAAGACCTGAAATTTCTCCTTCATCAGTATAAATATGCTTCTTGAACAAATTTGATGAAAAATATTTTCTAAAATTTCCCTTGTAGATGCACGATGAACTCTATTTATCCGATTCTCTTCTTGTGGAGAAATTTAATCAACTCTTAACCTATTTTATTCGCTACTGACACATTTTGTGGCAGGTATTAGTGATAAATGCAGTAACCGAGGAATTACTGAATTCACTGAGCTTTTAAGCGACTGGTCTGATTCTCAAGGCTACTGTGTGTATGAGCTTCTTTCCATATTTCTTTAATGATTCTCTTTTTCTGTAGTTTTTAATTTTCAATGACTGCAAATATATAAAAAAAAAAAAATTTGATAATCATCTCAAATCAGAAGTTTGATTTATGTGTCTGTGCATTTTGGTTTCAAAGGCTTGTTGTAGCTACATGCACTGTGAATTTTTTTTTTGACTGCTACGTCCTTTATCATATGATTTCTAATAAGCTTATTAGAAGGCATCAAGAGGAAGTGAAATTTGTTTGAGCTTATTCTCAGACTCTGCTCACTTATGTTAGAAAACTCAGGGAGCTATTCTAGGTACCTATCCATGCATGGAAGTATGAGTGTAACAGTCTTCTGCAAAAGTGTGTGCATGGCTCCGCACATGTCTGTATACATGAGAATGTGTAGATTCGTTCTTCTGGTCGTGTTAGGAGAAAATTTTTTTATGAATTCTTATAACTGTCTGAAACAAACAATCTGACATCCTTTTCCTGGCTGTAGGGAAATTGGGGATGGATCATGGGATTCATGGACTATGCCCCTTTTGGAACAGGTAACACTTTTAACTGAGTTTGAGGTTTCTCATCATCTGTTGTCCTTACAATAATCATATAACTATAACCTATCTTACTTTTTGTTGCAGACGTCAATTGCTTGTGAAAAGGTTAGAAAACCATTTGGTAACATTTATCTCTTTGCTGTATTGTAGTTGAAGTTCTAATGTGCTTCCCAATGAATTTTCATTCCAACTTACAGGTGAAGAATATGACTGAACTTAGCGAGGGTTACAACATAGTTGGACTCTCTCAGGTATTAATATAAGTTGAAATTTTGTTTGTTTCTATAATTTATACTTGTTCATGCATTTTGATTTACATAATTTGTATTTGTTTCATGTGTGTACAGGAACACAAATGTTCATTCACGTACTCACAAACTTTTTCTGTTTTTTAATGGTTTAATGCATTAACATTTCTTATAATCCTATTCTTTTACACAGGGTAACATGATTGGTCGCGGGATTATTGAATTTTGTGACGGAGGACCCCCTGTAAGAACCCCCGAATTCCTCTTCAGTACGAGGCAACTAATTTTGATCAAATCCACTTGTATATCTAGGCTGAATGACTTCTATTCATCTATTACTCATTATATAAGATGCTATAGGTCTGTGACTCAGTGGCAAGAATTTTCTTTTTGTCAATTGTCAAATCCATATGATATTGAAGATAATTATGTGGAGATTTTCCGTTGCTTACTGCTATTGAGCTTCCTGATTTGGAACTTATAGCATCATTCATTAGTAATATCCCATTGGCTTTTAACTTTTTTCATCTCCAAAATGTAGTACTCTAGCTGTCTCCCAATCGTGAATAGGCAGTTGGAAAGTGAATGTTACTGGCTCAGCTGGCCACAGGATGCTCCTTCTCTGGCTTATATGATGGCACAGCCTTATAATCTCCCTCATCTATATTGCTGAATTCTTCTCTTTTTCGACTTTTTGGCATTCTTTTACTTATAGCATACTTTTCTCTGTCTTGAACTGTAGCTAGTTTCTTTTGTCTTCAAACTGAAATCTGACTTTGTGTCTTAATTTTTTCCTGTGTGTCAGGTCAAGAATTTCATATCGTTGGCAGGGCCCCATGCCGGTACTGCTTCAATTCCTTTCTGCGGAGTGAGTGCCTGTTCCATGTTTTTAATCTTTCTTCGTATTTTTTTTTTGGTAATTATTTTAGACTATTATTGCAGTCTGGCTGATCTGCTCTTTTTTTGGCAGTCCGCTTTGATATGCATACTTCTTGATAGCTTAATCAAGTTGGAAATCTATAGCAACTATGTCCAGGTATAAGATTGTTTTTAAACTCTCCAGTCTTTGCTTTGTTGGCAAGTCTGTTGATACGGGAAGAAATAGATAAATACAAATGCTTGGTTGCTGTTGTGATCTGTACCTCGTTGTTATGCTCTATACCTGGTATTTTTCTTAATGCAGCAGGCCTCTACCCCTTTGTAGCCTTCTTCTTTTCTGCATGACACGCATGCCTATTTTGGCTGCCTTTTGTAATTCTCCTTTTGTGAGACCTTTATGCAATAAAGATCTGCCTTTCAAAAAAAAAAATGGTAGTTCCATCTTACTATGGATCTTGCCTATCTCAACTTCATTGTCCATCTATCCCCGGCGTGCAGCATATTTTTCTTAGCTTGTTTATATATCTAAATGGTAATTTAACAACTATCTTGAATGCATACCATTGATAATTGCAGGAACACTTGGCTCCCAGTGGTTATCTTAAAATTCCAACGGTGAGTATAGCTACTAACTTTGGGTTAAGATCTTTTGTTATTCCAATTGCCAGGTTGTATTATTGATAGTTTGGCATCAAATATTCGCGTGGAACTTTGCTATAGTGCTTAATGCAGGATTAGGAGTCCTTTTTTCCTGCTTTTGTGACTTATATTGTTTCTTTATCATTTTCCTCCCTTCCCCTATTTGAGTCAAATCAATTATGTGCGTTAACATTCACCTTTCTAAAGCCATGTACATTTACACTTCTATAATTTTCCCTATGTCAATTGTCTACTTGATATCTTTCTCTTTCACCAGGACTTGACTGACTATCTCAAGGGATGTAGATTCCTCCCAAAACTCAACAATGAAATCAAGGGTACGAGAAATTCCACTTACAAGGAACGGTTTGCCAGTTTACAGAATCTGGTCCTTATCATGGTAATTTGAACTGTCCTGTTTCAGTCTCTGACTCCTTTCAGCCAATTTTAGATTAATCTGCAATTCTCATCACCAGGTTTGTCATGCTAATCTCTTTCTTTGCATGTTTGGATCAGTTCGAGGATGATACAGTTTTGATACCTAAGGAAACATCCTGGTTTGGTTATTATCCGGATGGGTGCTTTGATCCTGTATTACCTGCTCAAGAGGTAAATCCACTTCGGCAAACATCCTTTTTCCATGACTAGGTTTTGTACAACAATCTTTCATTTGCAACTACACATGTTTATGTCTCTGCAGACCAAGCTCTACAAGGAAGATTGGATCGGTTTGAAAACCCTAGATGAAGCTGGAAAAGTTAAATTCATAAACGTGTCGGGTAACCATCTGCAAATCTCAAAAAGTGACATGAAGAAGTACATACTACCATACTTGGAGGACCAAGCATCGACAGAGCAGACAGTGACACAATCTTCATCTTACCAATGGCTTTCAGGACTCTGGTACTCATTTAAGGGTCTAATTGGCCTCACTGAGGATCAACCTTTGCTGCATATCATGTACTAAACCAACCAAGCGCTATTGTTTTGCCTGAATAAGATGAAGTGAAACACAGTAGGAGTCTATTCTATCTACATTGCTCTTGATTTTAACCTCGACCACTATTATTTCAGCTGTAGTTTGTCCAATCTGAAGTTGATATTCTGATGTGTGACAGATGTAAGCATAGTATATGTTTATAATTTTTTTTTCTCATGTTCACAGAAAAAGAAAAGAAAATCAGAAAACTATACAAAGAAAAAAACTTTGATTATTTAAGTCTAATTATATGATCCTAAGTAAATCATTATTGAAATATTTAATTGAATGATAAGTATATATATATATATATTATCATAAATCTAATTTGATTTTTTTAAAATTAAAATTTATTCTGAATTCTATAATTAAGGTAGTAGATTTATTGATACATGCATGCGTATATTAAAAAAATCAACTTTGGATTTTAATTTTTTAAAATTACAAAGATATAATATTTAAAATGAATCTTAACTATTTTTTAAAAAAATTATTTTTATTACATTAAATTAAATGTATTAAAATTTTAATTAAATACAATACAAAAATTTATTTAAATTTTTTTAAATAATTTAGAGAAGTATTTATAATGTTTCATTTTAAATCCATACACAAGGCAAATGGTGTTCCTGTTCAAAGTCTAAGCCAGTGGGCAGAAGATAGAACCGGCAATCATAGATGAGAGATCAAGAAGAACAGCACTTGCATTCCCTATGGCGTCCGATAGAGAGAAAATGTCTGTTTCTTCTGCAACGAGAGAACACGAAATCTACTCTCCTCCAAATCCACGCTTTCATGCTCCGTCACTCCATCGAAACCAACCTTAACCTCTTCACCAAGTTCATCACAGCCTGCGCTTCTCTCTCCTCTCTTTCAGCTGTTTGCCACGCGCGCCGCTTGTTCGATGTTAGGCCCCATGAAAACGACACGTATCTTTGCAATGCCATGATCAAAGCCCATCTGGGTGTCAACCAATTCGCCCAATCTTTCACTCTTTACAAGGATCTTGGGAGAGATGAGGAGGGTTTTGTTCCCAATAAGATTACGTTTTTAACACTTGCGAAGTCTTGTGCTTTAAATATGGCAATCTGGGAGGGTTTACAGATACATAATCACGTGATAAAATTTGGGTTTTGCTTGGATTTGTATGTTTCAACGGCTTTGCTTGATATGTATGCAAAGCTTGGCATCATGTTCTCAGCAAGAAAGGTTTTTGAAGAGATGCCTGAGAGAAGTTTAGTTTCATGGACAGCTCTAATTTGTGGATATGCAAAAGCTGGGGATATGGAGAGAGCAAAAGAGCTATTGGATGAGATGCCTGAGAAGGAAGATTCTGTTCTATACAATGCTATGATTGATGGATATGTTAAGTTGGGAGATTTAGATTCGGCTCGAAATTTGTTTAATCAAATGCAGGATAGGAATGTGATTTCTTGGACTAGTATGATTAATGGATATTGCAATAGTGGTGATGTTGAGTCTGCTAGGCTCTTGTTTGATTCCATGCCTGAAAAAAATTTAGTGTCTTGGAATGCAATGATTGGTGGGTACTGTCAAAATAAGCAACCTCATGAAGCATTGAAATTGTTTCATGAAATGCAATCGAGCACATTTTTTGAGCCGGATAAAGTAACCATTGTGAGCATTCTTCCAGCTATTGCTGATTTGGGTGCACTAGATCTGGGTGAGTGGGTTCACCATTTTGTTCAAAGGAAGAAACTTGATAAAGCAATCAATGTGTGTACTGCTCTTGTTGATATGTATGCCAAATGTGGGGAGATAAACAAAGCGAAAATAATTTTTTATGAGATGTCTGAGAAGGAAATAGCTTCATGGAATGCTTTAATAAACGGATATGCAGTGAATGGATGTGCCAAAGAAGCATTGCAGGTATTTTTGGAGATGCGGAATGAAAGAGTCATGCCAAATGATGTGACCATGATAGGTGTTTTATCAGCTTGTAATCATGCTGGTCTGGTGGAGGAAGGTAAGAGATGGTTTAAAGCAATGGCAGAGTTTGGGATCACCCCGAAAATTGAGCATTATGGTTGTATGGCTGATCTGTTGGGGAGGGCTGGATGTGTGGAGGAAGCTGAGAAGTTGATAGAAGGTATGCCCTATGAAGTCAATGGAATAATTCTCACTTCTCTTCTATTCGCATATGGGTCCTCAAATAATGTGAAAAGAGCTGAGAGAGTGCTAAATAAGTTGGTCCATATGGAACCAACTAATCGTGGGTGTTATGTGGTGTTAAGGAATTTGTATGCCACAGAGAAAAGATGGGAAGATGTGGAGGAAATCAGGGAATTGATGAGAAGGAATGGGGCAAGAAAGGAAGCTGGCTGTAGTGTTATTGAGGTTGATCGTAGGGTTTTGGAGTTTGTATCTGGAGATAGAGTGCACCCCAAGTGGCAACTGATGCAGTCAGTGTTACAGCAGTTGTGGATGCACATGAGGGGACAACCAGACAAGTCAGCTGCTTAAGTTGAAGAATGTTTTGATTTGTTAGTGATGCTTGGGAAAAGCTCAAAGCTAAAGCAAGAACTGGGAACAATTTCATTAGCCTAGTGATCTCGTACTGTTGTTTTATGCATCAGACCAAAGACAACATACTAAGGTGTAGAGACATAAAATTTCATTTGCCTTATGATCTTGTACATCAAATTTTTTTCTCCATATTTGTACTATTCTTGATATGCTTTCTCTTTCACCAGGACATGCTGGCTACCTTTAAGGATGTAGATTCCTTCTAAAACTCACAATGAAATCAATGATGCGAGGAATTCCACTTACAGCTAACTGCTTGCCAGCTTACAGGATTTGGTGCTTAGATGGTAAGGTGAAGAGTCCCATTTTGGCCGATGCCTCTTGTCAACCAACTTTGGAATCAATATGCCTTTACTTTCTGCAATTTGCTAATCAGCTTTGGATGACTAATCTGCAATTTGCTCATCAATTTGGTGGTTCTACTTTCTTTCTCTTTGTGCGTGGTTGGTTTGAGCGGGACACAGTTTTGTTACTTAAGGAAACCTCCTGGTTTGGTCATCATCCACACAAGAGCCTTTGATCTTTATTGCCTGCCCTTTTTATAGGCAGGACCATTTCTCGGTGGCGGGGTTGTCAAATGCAATTTTTCTGTTGGGAGTATTCCATAACATATAAGTACATGTTCAAGGCACAGTGACAAGGCTTGGAAACAATATCGAGATGAAAATAACATCAATATCCATAGATATGTATACTGCTTCATGTTGTCATTACCCATTTGTCACTATACTTTAGGATTATAGATGCCATCTTTTTCATTTGGATTTTGTGGTGTATGGTAAATGCAACGAATCTAATGTGTGTCTATCATTGCAGACCCAGCTCCGTAAGGAAGACTGGATTGGTTCGATAACCTTAGACAAAGATGGAAAAGTCAATTCTTAAATATGCCTCTCACAAGTGACATGAAGAAGTACATAGTACCTTATTCAAGGACCAAGCATCTACAGAGCAGACGGTAAAAGAATTACATCTTGGCTTTTCAAGGGAGCGGTAGGCATTTATGGATCGGAATGGCCATAATGAGGATCATCCTGCTTCGCTGCATGCCATGTAGTAAAGCAAGTGCTTTTGTCATGTGTGAATAAGATGGAAGTTAAAAGGGAAAGTGGTTTGTTCTTTCCATGTCCTTGTTTTTAAGCCCTGTACACCACTCAAGTGGAACTTGCCTCCTCTGATGATTTTGGAAAGACTTACTATGTTTATATATGCCAATCCATTGACTTTTCTTAAACTTCAAATTTATTCTTCTTGGCTCTTTCCATTCAAAACCTTGCAGCTCGACACTGACTTGTAGTTTAACATTTTCCTGAATTTCCAGAATTTGCATCTTTTGTTACCACCATAAGCTCATACTGCTGTCAGCCGATCAACAGTGTTCAAATGACCCAAAAGATACAATTAACAAAGCTACTATAGTTCTCCTTTCCAAAGGAAAAAAGAAAAAGTTGTCATTAATACTGGTTCAGACACACAGGGGCCACACCTATTAAGTCCTAAGAAGACATTTATGATTATATAGAAGGTATTGTTGCAATGAATACAGACACAAAAATGATGAGGTACAGGTTTACATCAATTCCCCATGCAAAGATTTGTTACAAGAAAGGGGAAGGAGATTCACCCAAACCTAAAAGAAGAATTTAAACAACAAATTGGGAGGGAAAAAGGGAGAGAAGCAAAAGGACTATGCGAACTTGTTCTGATAGTTTCTTAATACTCAAAAGGTTGCAGGACTGTAAAATGTCTCATGGCATATGAAACCCTTGCCTAACAAAAAAGTTGTTTCCTGAATTAGATGGAAGGTTCTACTTGATGGTGCTCAAGGTTTCTAAGTACAATTCTTGCAAAGATTTTAGCCTCAATAGGGGCAGTTGTCTGCTGCAGCTGCAGCACGAAGTACTCTTGCTGCCAGCACCCTGCATAAGGCTAGCATGGTGCACAGCATGTCGACCACCAGGAATGGTGAACTGCAGTTGAACAAAATAGAAAAGTAACATGTAAAAATCCCTTGGTGTACGTTTAGCAGTACACATTATGCTTCATAAAGAAGAGTTCTGCAAACAGGATCTTCATAAATTACTGGAGGCAAAAGGGAATCCATATGCATAAATTACCTGGAGTAGAGCAAATGCAGCACATGCCTTGAGTATTGAAGAGCATTTCGAAGCAGGAGAAATCTTCCAATTTCAGCCCCACTAAGGAATAGAAAAGTCACGTTAATTTAGAGAGATTAAGTCACCCCCCCCCCCCCCCCCTCTCCAACATGCAGGTATGGTGAAAGAGAGCTGGCATCAAAAGATGACACTGATACTTTACATGATTAATGAATTCCAACCAGTGCAAAATAGCTGGAACAGAATTTTTATGAAAGAAATTATCAAAACTCATCAAATGGATCATTTTAACAACAGCAGTAGAGAGGGAGACAGATACCATACTGGAGGTTGTCTTTCACAAGCTTTATTAAAAGCATAGTGCATTTTCCTTCCATAAATTTACAAAAGTGTTTCTTCATTGACATCTATAGTGGGCATTTTCTTTTAAAAGCATGCCAAATTTTTTTTCTGCAGCTTCATGTTGTGAAATGGAGATTGGAAAAAATAATCATCTTACAGCACAAATGCATGGAGAAGGATGAGGAAGGAAACCTGCATCTCAGATGCCCTGCTTCTTGAATACGAGCTCTTTCAGTTACTTGTGCCAATGCTGCTGGAGCTGATGAAGCAGAAGCTGCTGCAATTGCTTGAGGATCGGAGAATGTAAGAATAAAAGCTTCAATATGCTTCAAAGCCATTCTCTGGCCCCATCCAAGCTCACACTCTAGAAGCAATTTCTGATGATGTGCCCATTGGAGCAAACTCATCAATTTCTGCTAAAAATATCATACAGAACATTATCACCAAGATGGTTTGGAATATTTCTCACAGGACACATACAAGACATTAGGAGCCTTTGACATTGCATCTTACGCTTGCATAATGAACCACTAATTGCTTGGTAATCTCAACCTCATCTTTCAGACTATTACACTCACAGCCTTCTTTTTTTCCTTGCAGATATGTGAACGTAATTATTTTAAAAGAATTGTTGAATAACCCCCTGCAGGACTATTTGATATATTGGAACTTATTTGAAAGATTTCAGAACAGAAAAATAGATGAATTTAATCTATACATAACTTTACCATCATACTCTATTTACAAGATGCTTTGGCAAAGATAAGTTACGTTAAAGTTTATGCAATTAATACTAGAACAATTACCTCCATCAACATGTGTATGCAGCGCCAATGCAGCCATGAAGCGTGCCATCTTGAGATACGATGAAGAACAAAGATGAACAGTGCAGAGACCCCACTTCTCCACTATCCGAGGAGCGTTACTATGGTTAAAAGCAAGGTTCCAAAGAGCCCCTGCAGCAGTTTCATGAACATCCTGAAAGCAAAAGCATAAGTTAAGATCAACTCAAATGCCACTTAAACAAAAATAGATTATACACTAGCAGAAAGGGCTAGCTTATGAAACGCTTACTTCAGCATCAGAGCGTGCAAGTGCAATCAGGGGTGCAACACCTCCTTCTCGTCCAATAGCGATGCTAACACAGACCAAACGTAAATAGCATCAATGTTCTGACTATTAGTGCTCCACAGTGATAAAATGAGTATCTGCCTGATAAATGTATGAACAAGAAGAAAATGCAGTTGCACCATTAACACTAGAAGAAGTTATTTGATTCTGTTCTACCTATCATCCAGTAAAACTTCCCATCTCTCATCCTGAAGCTTTAGTAGCGGTAATCATGATGACAAGAAGCACAGATCTATAGACTAATGCTGCTCAGCTCAAACATGCAAGCTGAAGACTTCAGAACAGCAATATACAAATCACTAAAGGTTTAGGGCCATATCTACTAGCACCACCCTCTTTGGTGAGGCGAAATAATGGATGATAGCTGATGATTATGACAACTGTATAGTTTGGAAAAGAAGAAAGAAGACAGAAGGCATCATAAATAACAGGGTTCCTGCTGCTGTCCAGTTAGGTCTCATATTCCAAAAACATTAAAAACTCCATGAGGGCCAAAGTTGAAAATTTTTCTCACTTAATGCATTCAGATTTCAGGAGTTCTATTAACTAGCTCTTGCATGGATTGCATATCCATGTACAAAAGAAAAAAATGCATTACCTGTTGGCTTCCGAGACTGACAATCCAGAGCATGCTGCTTCCTGAAGACCTGGCGAAGCATTTGAACAGATTGGGCAAGAGTAATTCATAAAAACATAAAACCAATACCTTAAATGTAGTGAACTCTTGACTGAATGAACATATTAAAAACAAAAATTTTATTCACATCAGCTCTACCAAGAATAATCATAAAGCCAGAGCACAATTCACTAATCTTTAACATTACTCAATTTTGAGAACTTTCATTATAGTGTCTAATATTTCAGGATTTAGACTTTTGCACCATGCCACTAACACAACAAGGGTAAAGGACCACAATAAAACACCAAAGATATATGTTGAAATTCATGACATGCATATAAGAGAAGCTCAGATGACAAGACATATCTCTCCGCATCTATACATATTAAGGTAGATTACACATTTATGCAGAAACATGTACAACAATTTAAAAGTACGAGAAAAAATTGTCCAAGCAAAATGATGTGGACCTAAAATGACTAGATATTTGGGAGGGTTTTAGTAGACCTCAAACAATTATCCTATGCTGCACATAATGGTTACAAAGGCTACCCCCGATTATATGTGGGGAGCAATTCGGGGCTAAAAAAGGTAAATATCATACCAATGCCTCAACACCACCAGCTGCTGCAATTGCTTCTCGATTTCTGTCATCAAATGACAAATTCCACAATGCACCAGCAGCTTCTTGCCTGTTTCAATTAGCTGATATCAACATACAAACTAGAACAAAACTATTACAGAAACTACATAATTTTTGTGTATGAAAAAAAGTGTTAAGGTCTATGAGTTATAGACTAGATTAATTATTGTGGGATCAACAGAAAAATGAAACGAGCCGATACAAGATATTGTGGGACTAGCAAGAGGAATATTGAACTGAATTTACAGGCAAAAGCATCTAATAGAGGTACAAAAAATAGAAAGATGGTGTTCAGCAATCAGAAACTTGGAATAAGAATCTGGTGGAACCAGAGGCAAAAATGTATGGAAAACTAGGACATAATGCCTCAAGCACCAGCCAAAATCAATTCTAAATCTTCAATTCCATGCTGCCAAACACAGCAAAAATAATAATGAGAAATGCACTCACAATAACATGCGCAAATGAATGCATTTAAGATATTCAAGAGCCATCGGAAATATGTGATTATAAATTACCTGACACCTTCATGAGGAGAACGTGTAAGTTGAACTAGGGCTTCAAGAGCACCTGCCTCTTGTCCTACAGCAGCATTATTACTGTTGCTATCACCATGTGCAGCCAAATTTGCTAAGGCACGAGCAGCCTAGCATATTTGGACATGAAATTAATCAACTCACACCAAACATGTAGTATATGGTATCGCAAGTAATCCTTAAATGCTTTAAAACAAGGCTAGATTCCAACAGAAATGTAAAGAAAAGCAAGTTGACAATTAAAGCCATGATTTGGAATTTGGAATTTACAGGCTTTCTTAATTCGAGTGTAACCGTTTTAATTAAGCATTTGCACACGAAAGCATGTTTAGCATTGAAAGAAGTATGCTAAAGTTTCAACGAGGGTGCTTAGAAAAATTCAACAATCTAGAACAATGTGGCAAAATATTCTAGAGGATTGCTGTATTACTTCGCTATGTTATTGTGACTGTGGGTGTATAACACACAGCAAAGATCAAATAATTGGAAAAGCCAACTCTAATCATTTCAAATCAAAACCCTTCAGTGGAACAGTAGTGATTATGTCATGCACAGTCCAAAGTTTCCTCTTAATTGTGACAGTAATGGCACCTGTTCTTGCACTCCTTCAAACTTGCAGTTACGTGCAAGCATCACCAATGCATGCACACCACCTGCAATGGCAACTTCCATACTACATTTATCATCAGCTGCCAAATTTGCCAAGGCACCAGCCGCCCGTTCCTGAAAACACACAGAAAATTATGATCCAACCAACAAACTATAGCCTGACAACAACTCCAACTATGTGCATGTCAAATGCTGTATGATATTTAAACATAGTACAAAAGCAAAATACATTGCATAAAGAGAAACATACAAGAACT